GGAAATCTTTAAAGATGTGGGCGCCAGACACATTTTAAAATCGTCAGTGGGCGATTGTGGGCGTTAGAGGAGGCGTGGCGCTCGGCTAAAATAAACTTGCGCTGCGTAGGAGGCCCAAGAACATGTGTGGAAAATCTCAGCCTTCTAGCTATTGTAGTTTCCGAGATCTCAGCGTTCATACGGACAGACAGACAGACGGACATGGCTAGATCGACTCGGCTAGTGGCCCTGATTAAGAATATGTATACTTTATGGGGTCGGAAACGCTTCCTTCTAGCTGTTACATACTTTTGCACGAATACAATATACCCTTTTACTCTACGACTAGCGGGTAATTACCTCATGAACAAATTACGGGACTTCTTACTAATATTACTGTAAATGCATTGGCGACACGATAAGATAATCTAGGATTGATTGGCGAAGACTATCCCATTGATGTCATTGCTTCCACCACCAAAAAGCCTTTTCTGAGTGTTGTCCTAAAACACATATAAGGAAAAGCCAAAAATTGTTGTCAACGATAGATGAGAACCAATTTTTTGATCGGGCGGGCGGGAGTAAAACGTGATTCAGCTAAATTAATTAATGAATTATTAAATGCTGCCGCGTCCACGGGAACTATAATTAAGAATGCTTAATAATTTTCTAATGGCACTTCAAACGCCTTTCAGCAGATCAAGCACTTGCCATTATGATAGACAGTAAAAAATTGTCCAAAATTGTATTCATGTTATGATCTCGTACACACAAATGCTGATATCATGCACAGGTTACTGATATCAACCGAACCATTTATAGCAAGTTTGCGAGCTTCCAGAAGATGTGTTCCAACTTTTATCAAAAGATGGTTACATTGACGACAGCTGTGACTCGAATTCCGAATCGGACTAGTTAGTAAAAATTGTTCTATGGAGTATGAATTGTTACCATTTAAAAACAAGAGAAAACGCTTTAGTCGGGCTCGTGTCCCGACTATCTAATACCAGTCACTCGGCTAAAGGGAGTGCGATGGAGATGGATATACACCATTTTTTTGATTGCGTTTAACTTTTTAATGAATAGTCCGATTTGAAAAATGTCTTCTACATTTCGATAGGTATAAATATACACAACAGTTGCATTTATACTTCTCGGAAATCTTTAAAGATGTGGGCGCCAGACACATTTTAAAATCATTAGTGGGCGATTGTGGGCGTTAGAGGAGGCGTAGCGCTCGGCTAAAATAAACTTGCGCTGCGTAGGAGGCCCAAGAACATGTGTGGAAAATCTCAGCCTTCTAGCTATTGTAGTTTCCGAGATCTCAGCGTTCATACGGACAGACGGACATGGCTAGATCGACTCGGCTAGTGGCCCTGATTAAGAATATGTATACTTTATGGGGTCGGAAACGCTTCCTTCTAGCTGTTACATACTTTTGCACGAATACAATATACCCTTTTACTCTACGAGTAACGGGTAATTACCTCATGAACAAATTACGGGACTTCTTACTAATATTACTGTAAATGCATTGGCGACACGATAAGATAATCTAGGATTGATTGGCGAAGACTATCCCATTGATGTCATTGCTTCCACCACCAAAAAGCCTTTTCTGAGTGTTGTCCTAAAACACATATAAGGAAAAGCCAAAAATTGTTGTCAACGATAGATGAGAACCAATTTTTTGATCGGGCGGGCGGGAGTAAAACGTGATTCAGCTAAATTAATTAATGAATTATTAAATGCTGCCGCGTCCACGGGAACTATAATTAAGAATGCTTAATAATTTTCTAATGGCACTTCAAACGCCTTTCAGCAGATCAAGCACTTGCCATTATGATAGACAGTAAAAAATTGTCCAAAATTGTATTCATGTTATGATCTCGTACACACAAATGCTGATATCATGCACAGGTTACTGATATCAACCGAACCATTTATAGCAAGTTTGCGAGCTTCCAGAAGATGTGTTCCAACTTTTATCAAAAGATGGTTACATTGACGACAGCTGTGACTCGAATTCCGAATCGGACTAGTTAGTAAAAATTGTTCTATGGAGTATGAATTGTTACCATTTAAAAACAAGAGAAAACGCTTTAGTCGGGCTCGTGTCCCGACTATCTAATACCAGTCACTCGGCTAAAGGGAGTGCGATGGAGATGGATATACACCATTTTTTTGATTGCGTTTAACTTTTTAATGAATAGTCCGATTTGAAAAATGTCTTCTACATTTCGATAGGTATAAATATACACAACAGTTGCATTTATACTTCTCGGAAATCTTTAAAGATGTGAGCGCCAGACACATTTTAAAATCATTAGTGGGCGATTGTGGGCGTTAGAGGAGGCGTAGCGCTCGGCTAAAATAAACTTGCGCTGCGTAGGAGGCCCAAGAACATGTGTGGAAAATCTCAGCCTTCTAGCTTTCGTAGTTTCCGAGATCTCAGCGTTCATACGGACAGACAGACAGACGGACATGGCTAGATCGACTCGGCTAGTGGCCCTGATCAAGAATATGTATACTTTATGGGGTCGGAAACGCTTCCTTCTAGCTGTTACATACTTTTGCACGAATATAATACACCCTTTTACTCTACGAGTAACAGGTAGAAAAAATGTTAAAAATATAAACCAAAGATTTTTTGTTTTTTTTATTATCTTATCTTGTTTATCTTTAATATAAGACCTTATTTGCAGCTGTTTAGCTTATAACATCGAAGTTACAGCTAAAAACATAAGCATATAACCAAAATCCAACATTTTCCAATTTTTTCAATTTCCAAAAAAAAAAGGGATGTGTCCCAGCCTACGCACTACAGAAGTGAAACTTAGTATTCCTCTCACGTTTATCAATTCTTTATCTCTTTTTATACCCTTGCAGAGGGTATTATGATTTCAGTCAGAAGTTTGCAACGCAGTGAAGGTGACGTTTCCGACCCTATAAAGCTTTATCAGCATCACTAGACGAGTCGATCTAGCCATGTCCGTCAGTCCGTCTGTCCATCTGCCCGGCTGTCCATCCGCCTTTCAGTTTTAAAGCTATCATGTTAAAACTTTCCCAAAAATCTTCTTTCTTTTGCAGGTAGTATATATATTGGAACGAGCTAGATCGGAAAACTATATCATATAGCTTTCATAGGAATAATCGGGAAAAAACTTTAAATAAATTATATCTTGGTTGTTTTTGAACAAAGGACCTCGTAATTTTGGAAATACCATCTTCAACTAAAATTTTTTTTCAAAAGCGGACCACTACCTATATGATAAGGTGCCATAGGAACGATCAGAAAATTAATGGGAATATAATAGAAAATAAATTATTGCTTCTATGGTTTTTATTGTATTCTCTTCTACTCTGGGATATGACTTATTTTAAATATTTTCTAACTTCGATTTTATTTTTATGAATATCAAACTACTATATCATATAGCTGCCATAGAAGCGATTGGAAAATTAGTAAGAAATAATAGGAAATTTAATATATTTGAGATTGGTAAAGTAATAGGAATTATCTGCCAGGGTATATCTAGCTTCCTTTCTTGTTTTTTATGAAATTGGAGCTGGTGTTATAGCGTCAGCTGCAGTATATCGCAGACGCTCTCTGTATGCTTTACTTCTTTCTTGCATCTTAATTGATGTCACAGAAATAATTTCGGCTTAAAAATCGTATTCTCACACAAGCAAGCTTAGATTTACATTAGATTTTACTCTCTCAGCTTTATGCGAGCGCATGCTGCAACCAAAGAGTGTAAGTGCATCATTTCGTTTGCTTATACACTTAAGGTGGTCTCAACGCAAGAGCTGCTCTCTTTTAAAATGTCATTTGTGCCAGTCTCTATCTAGCTATCTCATTCTATCGCTTAAGAGAGACAGACAGGGAAACATATTTAACGTTCTCAGCAGAGCTGAGCTCGCAGCGAAGAGAGGAAAGGAGTGGACAAAGAGAACGTTCGTCAGCGGTGACGAAAATAACGGGAGATGTACAATCGGTCATGAAACCATGAAACGGTTTTACTCCGTCCCCGAAAATCCATAGCGGGCCTAGAGAAGTTTCACTTAAAAAAAAAGTGGTCTCCAAAAAGTAAAACACAAATTTTTTAAGTTGGCGAAAATTATAACAAACAAGAAAGGAAGCTACCTTCGGCCAGCCGAAGCTTATATACCCTTGTAGATAAAGTAATGCTTACTCGGTGCAGTTCCAGGAATTCCAATTTTGTTTTTAAGTAGTCAAGAATCAAAACGCCTACTTCCTACAAACAATGAATTTTCTTATATTTGTTTGAATTTTCCTATGGGAGCCTTAAGATATAGTGGTCCGATCCGGCTCGCTCCGACATATGTACTTCCTGCAATAGAAAGAAGACTTTCGGGAAAGTTTCATCGCGATAGCTTTAAAACTGAGAGACTAGTTCGCATAGAAACGGACAGACGAACATGGCTAGATAGACTCTGCTATTGGTGCTGATCAAGAATATATATACTTTTTGTGGTCGGAAACGTCTCCTTCACTGCGTTGCAAACATCTGACTGAAATTATAATACCCTCTACAAGTGTATACAAATACAAAAACATTAAAAATTTCGAAAAAAATGTTTAAATATTTTTATTGGGGTTTTTATCTTAAAAAAGCACTTTTTTTTTGTTTAACGAAATCTTTGGGCTTACTAGTATATTCACTCCGAATTTGAAGACGATATCTTAAAAAATACGACTCCTACTGATTTAAGTCCCCCTTCTCCCCTATTATTGTAGAACTTTTTGGAATTGAATCTGTACACTACTGCCACATGTCGCTCTCTGATCTCTGTAAACAGCTCTTCCCCTTTTCTTAGTGACTACACTAAAAGTGTTCAAACTTGGAAGCAAAAGAATGCGGTTGTATTATTTTTATCGGTTGTTGCACTCACACTCAAACTGAATGACTCATGTTGCCTAAGAAAACGATCTTGGTCACAACAGTTATGTTTAATAAATTATTGTGATTTCTATTTCGGTGATTATTAAAAATTACCTGATTGTTATGAGTCCAAAGAACTGAAATGGGAGGGTCTGGCAAGTGTTTGACCACGCAAGTTAAATTAACCGTTGACCCCAAATCCATGTAAATCTCTGGTCCTCCGGGAATACTTGTAATAGGTTCTAAAAATACAAATTTTTTTGGTTATATATAATATCAAATAAAAACACCTCTTAACGAGGTAAAAAACTAGTGACGATCGCACCTTCAACGTACAAAAGTTCTGATATCAACTTTTGTGACGAAAAATGATTTTAGATGCGACTAAATAAGTACGCTACCTAAAATTTACTCGTTCGGCGCGCTTTAGCAAATATTTAATATCTACACGAAAGTTTTCTGTTGTAGCGTGCCGAATGAACAAATTTTAGGTAGCGTACTTATTTAGTCGCATCTAAAATCATTTTTCGTCACAAAAGTTGATATCAGAACTTTTGTACGTTGAAGGTGCGATCGTCACTAGTTTTTTAACTCGTTAAGAGGTGTTTTTATTTGATATCAGAAGTTTTTGTATGTTTACTTTTGCTCTCATAGGTGCTAATATTAACATTTAAATAAATTGGTCATAAATCATAATTTGTAAACTATTGTAATTTAACGAAATAAGTTAAAAAGGCGTTGAAGTATTTCAAAATACCTTTTAAACGAGGTATAGCACATGGGTGTACCTTTAGTAGTGTAGAACTTACAAACTAACGAAATTTAGCTATTTTTAGCTTTTTTCCCGCTAAAGTAGCGGCTTTTTCCAAAAGTCGTAAAACAAAAGATTCCTATATGGAACTCTTAAGTGCAAATTTACTGATTCCATGACCCTAAAATACAGTTCGGATACCCTCCCACAAAATTCTATACTCAGGGAGCGTTAGTAGTTCGAGCTGGCAAAAGTGGCTATCTTCGTATAAAAATAACTTTTAAACGTGACTTTGTACAGTAATGTGTTATATACCAAAATTTAAGGAATGTCAAGGGCTATACAGTTTAAAGTTTTAAAGAAAATCGTTAGAGCCGTTTTTGAGAACAATAAAAAAAGCTAAAAACAAAGTTTTAAAAAATTGTCTTTTGTTAATATCTTTTTAACTATTACATTTACACAAATTGCAGGCGTTTATAGCATTTAAAAATACCTTTCAAACGAGATGTAGCACAAGTCTGTAGCTTTAGTAGTATAGAAGTTACGGTTCTCCGGATTTTAGCTATTTATAGCTGTTTTCCCGCTAAACTAGCGAGTTTTTCCAAAAGTGGTAGAACAAAAGTTTTTTATATCAATGTGATGAACGTCATGTCAAATTTTCAAAACTTAAAAAACATGTTTTGGACAAACTGACAAACTGACAAACAGAATTAAATTTTCATTTTGAGAAGACGTAGAAAATCGTATTTTGGCTATAACTTTTGAACGGAGCGTCGGATTTTATCATATGACCCCTCATTCGACGAGTATTTTCAATAGGAACACAACTAAAACATTGCGAGGGGGCATTTATCCCCACCGGCCCCAACAGCTCCAAATTTCGAAATTGGCACTTTTTCACTTTCACCGCTCTCTCTCCCAAGCCAATTGATTTTCTTTAAGTCTTGGTATGCAAAATCCTTTAAGTTTTTGCAATACCTTTCGATTGGTGTATTACTCATTACGATCGGACTATCACAGCAGATTTTCAATTTTTCGGCTATATAATAGTAGTCATCTTCGCGCACTCTCCTGGTGCGCTTCGTCACTACATGGACTGCCGTCCATAGTGAAAATATTAATATCAAAATTATAGGATATATGAACATTGTTCTGAGGTTATTCTGCAGGGTAATCGTTTCCGATTAGTGAATCATCTGAGATAGGCATCACCGGAATTTACTCGGACTGCTTAGCCTGTTACAGCCAGTCTAACAGTGTTTGTTAGTGTTTACAAATCAGACGCCAGTAGTGTTGATATGCATTCATTGATATTTATTTGTCTTCACCGAACATTTCAAAGATTAGTAGAATCCATAGAGCGATGCGTTGCATTGGTATTGGTGTAATAAAAGCTGAATGATCTCGTAAACACGTTACAGTTACACCCAAAAAAAATTCTTAGTGTCCATTTAATAGTTGTGATTCAAATTTTTGGGGTCAATTTGCCCCAAATAAGTGTCAAAAGTATACCGCATGTTTAGAAAAATCGTATTTGATACTAAGTAGTGTCATTTTGAGTTCGAGCTGAGTCTATCGCGACGGCGATAGGACGATGATTTACTCAAGTATCGATTTCGTTTTATAATTGTCAAGAGTACACACGCGCGAAAAATTGTGCGATGGCCCAGTTGGTAAGGCGTCTGCCTCTGATGCGAGAGGTACCCGGTTCGAGACCCAGATAAATCAGAGTAGGTAAAATGTTTTTAAAATGGATATTTAAAATTTCATTAATAAGTTTAAGAACAAAAATGTTAATTTGTGTTAGATTACTAATTACAAAAAAAAAATGTTGTCGCGAGCGGGATTTAAACCTCGAACCCCCGAGCACAAAATAATACCAGAACCTAGCACCTAGGCCGCTGAACCATGCCCGTATTATATTTTTCCATGGCAGAATGGTTACAGGAGCATTAAAGGAAATGTCAATATTCTTTCCATATTCTTCTAACCATAACATAATTTACCTTAACACCGCATTAACCCCAATGTTACCTCATCCTTACCCCACCGCTCTCCATTCTTAATCTCACCCTTGGCACACTTTTTTAGCACCACTATGCTGTTTTCACTATTTCCTCGTCTTAACCCCAGTGTAATCCATCCATACTTACCCTTCACGCCGAATTTACATAATTTTAACCACCTTTCTCCACCTTAACACCAGTTTTTCCTCCCCTTAGCTAACCTAACTTTAAAATGTTTCCTCACTATACTTACTTACTTTAACTTCATTTTTATACCCTTGCAGAGGGTATTATAATTTCAGTCAGATGTTTGCAACGCAGTGAAGGAGACGTTTCCGACCACTTAAAGTATATATATTCTTAATCAGCACCAATAGCCGAGTATATCTAGCCATGTCCGTCTGTCCGTCTGTCCGTTTCTATGCGAACTAGTCTATCAGTTTTAAAGCTATCGCGATGAAACTTTCCCGAAAGTCTTCTTTCTATTGCATGTAGTACACATGTCGGAGCGAGCCGGATCGGACCACTATATCTTAAGGCTTCCATAGGAATATTCAAAAAGAAATAAGAAAATTCATTGCAACTTTGTAGAAAGTAGGCGTTTTGATTTTTGACAACATAAAAACAAAATTTAAATAGGCACGCTGAATCTGGAATTCCTGGAACTGCACCGAGTGAGCATTAAACTATAGGTATAGGAACTATAGGAAATAAGGACAATTAAAAAAAAAAGGCACCTAAAGCTCCAACTCTATTGTGTAAAAATAGTGGGTGTAATTCAACCTGTAAGCCTTTTGAAGACGATATTTTACAAATTTTTCTTCGTTGGGCAAAAACTACCTTTTCTTAAATTGGAATGTTATTTGTGCACGCATATACTAATTTTTTTTTTTTAAGTACATAGTTTTTGTAATTTGTTTACAGTTTTAGAGCAGAGACCTGAAACTAAAACTCCCAAATATTTACGGGATACACACACATTTTGATTTCGGAATGCCTCCATTAGGTGGTCCGCTATTTTATCCTAATTTAATCATTACATACTAATGAAAATAGCAATTTGTCAATTTGTGTGTCATTGCGTTTCAGCAGCAATTGATGGCAAATTCTGTTAGTTCTGGACCCCTAGATCACAAAAATAGCACTTATATTTTTTTCGATGGCACAGTTTTTTTTTAAAGATTTTTTAAAGTTCGAAATGTTAAATTTCGGACTTTTTTTGAATTTCTTCTTATATCTCGGCAGATATCCACTCGGTTGGGCCAGTTTTAGTTTTATTTTAAAGTCAATAGATCAGAGCTTAACTTTGCCATACAGATCAATACGATTGGATGAGTAGTGGCAGCGCAGAAGCTCGACAAAGATCAAAAATGTGTTGAGTCGACGCGGACCAACCAACAAAACACTAGTAAAAAGATGGGAATTAGTGTCCAGACTTAAGCACGCATTCTGGAAGCAGTGGTCAATGGAATACCTTCAAGAGCTTCAAATGCGCAACAAATGGAAGACCATGTCGAAGAACGTCAAAGAAGAGCTACTTGTATTAATAAAAGAAGATAACCTGCCGGTGATGAGTTGGCCGATGGGAAAAATAGTAGAGTAATTACGTACGTGTAGTAGACGTAAAACCTGCGTCTCGCGTAGTTCAGCGACCAATCACGCGGCTTGCGCCGCTTCTTAAAGAAGAAGTATCGACAAAGCGGTCTAAAAGTTCCATCGAAGGAGCAATAGTTTCATAAGAGGTCCCAAAAAGGAAGAAAGTAAAAATTCCAGTTTTACCAACGTTACTAGCAATCAGTGTTGGGACATACCTAGATACTTTTACCTAGGTCCGTACCTAGGTACAATTTAGTGGTACCTTTTACCTTACCTAGGTATAAAAATAATTGAGTACCTTTTAACTTACCTAGGTATAAAAATAATTGAGTACCTTTTACCTTACCTAGCTACAGATTTTTATATACCTTTGGAATTATTAAGGTACTTACATACATAGGTATTAAACATTGCTCTGATTTAAAATAGCCAAATCTGACTGCGACACTGTAGTATCGTTTCATTGTATCGTTTCGTTTCGAAATTGTAATAGTAATTGTAATAATAAAAGTCATTGGAATTCAGCCGTTCTATTGTTTGTTTCGTGAAGTTAAAACTAATCGCAGTTTTATTTTATATAATTTTGTGCACGTATGTATGTTCCCATCACTACATCAATTTATTTATGAAACCAAAGTGTATTTGGCGCGCAAAAATGCCGTATGTACGTAAACAAACGGCATATACATATGCACAATATATAGTCAATGTTTCTACATACGGAATTTTTGCGCGCCAAATATGTACATGAGGGTTTCATAAATACATTAATGAAGTGATACGTGCATACAATTATTCATGACGCGTGTTTTAAAAATATATGCACAAAATTATAACATTTAAATTTAAATGAAATGAAAAGATATTGTTTGATTAAGACGACTAAAAA